CCATTCTGAGCTTGGTATCAAAAACAATAAAGTTTGTCAGCAAACTCTGACACCAGGGAAAAAGAAAGGTCTAGACAAGAAGGGATATTAATTTTACATTTGAGAATCACAAAAACAGAGCAACATGCCGGATTTTATTGTTACCCAAGAATACTCAAGAGAGTTAATCCATTTGATTACAAATATTGCATTAAAAACATAGTTTCCACCTCTGTAATATGTGTGCACAATATCTCTTATGTAGTCTCTCTTGATACGTCTGTCATGTAAAGTAATGGATATAATGCTGAATCTGATATTGATCCTTATATAGCTGATCCAGTGTTTAATCGACATCAGCCTTCAGAGACCCTGTAAGAGACATTGTGAACATACACTATATTACCAAAAGTATTGGGACACACCTCCATCATTGGATTCAGGTGTTCCGTGAAATTTCCTTGCTACTAAATATTCCACGGCCATCTGTTAGTGGTATTATAACAAAGTGGGAGCAACAGGGAACAACAGCAACTTAGCGGTAGGCCACATAAAAATAACAGAGCGGGGTCAGCGCATAGTGCGCAGAGGTCCCCAACTTTTTGCAGAGTCAATAGCTACAGACCTCCAAACTTCATGTGGCCTTCAGATTGGCACAACAGCAGTGCGTAGAGAGCTTCATGGAATGGGTTTCCATGGCCGAGCAGCTGCATCCAAGCCTTACATCACCAAGTGCAATGCAAATCGTCGGATGCAGTGGTGTAAAGCACACCACCACTGGGCTCTAGAGAAGTGGAGACTTGTTCTCTGGAGTGACGAATCACGCTTCTCTGTCTGGCAATCCGATGGATGTGTCTGGGTTTGGCAGTTGCCAGGAGAACGGTACTTCCCTGACTGCATTGTGCCAAGTGTAAAATTTGGTGGAAGGGGGATTATGGTGTGGGGTTGTTTTTCAGGGGTTGGGCTTGGCCCCTTAGTTCCAGTGAAGGGAACTCTTAAGGCATCCCTTCCTTCCACTTCGCACCAGTGCACAAAGCAAGGTCCATAAAGACATGGATTAGAGAGTTTGGCGTGGAGGAACTTTACTGGCCTGCACAGAGTACTGACCTCAACCCGATAGAACATTTCTGCGATGAATTAGAGCGGAAACTGCAAGCCTGGCCTTCTCGTCCAACATCAGTACCTGACCTCACAAATGCGCTTCTGGAAGAATGGTCAAACATTCCCATAGACACACTCCTAAACCTTGTGGACGCCTTCCCAGAAGAGTTGAAGCTGTTATAGCTGCAAAGGGTGATCCAACTCAATATTGAACCCTACGGACTAAGACTGGGATACCATTAAAGTTCGTGTGCGTGTAAAGGCAGGCGTCCCAATACTTTTGGTAATATAGTGTATATTACAGCGATGGAAATTATGTTTTAATTGAATATTTTATTATGTAATAAAATTGATTATATTAAACTCTATTGAGTATTGTCGTGGTACCATTAAAATCTGGCATGTTGCTCTATTTATGTATGTAAATTTGGATGGGGTACCTAGACCCACCATAAAAATTCTGTAGCTACATTTAGGAATCAACAGAAGTGGTACATGTAGATGCATTTTTTATAAACTACACTTATCTCATCCTTCTTTTCATTTTTAAATGTTTACTACAAAGTTTGGTATAAAAGGATCACTGCCTTTCCACTGAAACCTACCTCAGTACTGTAGCTTTTTACTATTTCAACTGTGCCCTTAGAGTCAGCGATGGAACTCCATCACTGCAGCCTGTAGCACAGAACCTTTAGCGGTCAAAGCAACATGCCTCGCTAGAACAACCTCTTTAATACACAACCTTTTCTGGTTTTACTGATCCTAAACTGGCTCAGAATATTGTAAAAAAGCTTATATGAAATGCATTTTAGAATGTAAGCCCTCAAGGGTAGGGCCCTCCTTACCATCTTGTCTTGAATTGTATTGTGATTGTAATGTCTTCCTTATATTGTAAGGCGCTGCACAAACTGTTGGCGCTATATAAATCCTGTATAATAATAATTTCTGCCGACAATGGGAAAAAATGCGTGCCCAATTACTGTGCTAGGAAAAGCTACCTCTTAGTCTGTGCTGCATATACAAGAATGACTAATGTGAGTCTGACTAGTGGTAAATCTGGTCCAGCTGAAAATGGAAGTTCAATATACCTTCATAACCGTCCTCTGCCAGATACCAATCAAAAGGTGAGCATATACAGGACCTACCATCCCCGAAAATGTACAAAACCCTGTCAGAAAGTGAGATAATGGTGATTACCATTATTTAAAAACCACACTCACTTTACCCATGCCATTATTACACATCTCCTGGAAATAAACTCAACTTCAGCCTTCAGTTCTAAACTGCACATGGATAACAGTAAAAGCCATACATCACCCAGGCCAGTGCTCTTGTCATTAGGCGGTTTCAGATGGATGATACAAGAACCCTACCATGGAATCCACATATATACTGATAAAGGTCTGATGTATCTAGTCTAGATTAAACATTTACATCAAATGTATTACTTTATGATTATCTCCAGGGTTCTATATCATTGTATTATGCATTCAACAGCATATTTAAAAAAAAAAAAATACATTACAACAAGCCCTTTAACTTTAAGGTCAATAAATGACAGGCAGCTGGAAAAGAAAAAAAATGTAGCAAGAAATCAGTACTGAGAAGAGTATCAGGACACATGCTTCATCTTATATGCTGGTTATGTTTTTCCTTACATTCCATTCCTTCCAAATCTATCAAAGCTCCCAATGGGCTCTAATGTGTCTTAAAATCTCAATGTTATTTTCACTCCTGAAATCCTATGCAGCCCCAGACAGACACCTAACATCTGGCATGGGAGCAGGGCGTGCCTGCTAGGCAGGATCAGTTGTTATCTAAATGAGAACAAAACAAAATGAAACACACTTCCCCAAGATTAGTTATAAAACCGTGAATCATTTTAAGAGCAAATTATTAGATGTAATGCTATATCCAGGCCGTTACATCAGTAACCAAGGTTCCTGGCTATGATCTACCAAAGAAAATATATCTAAAAGAGTTAGGAGGTATATTCTACAATCTGATTAATGGAGTATAGTAACATACTGCTGTCACAAGCCATGGCTCTGATGTCTGTGCTCATTTTTTCTGTGTATGGCTTCTGCGGGTTACACAAATAGAGCGCTTGTTGTAAATGCATACCACTATGCAATCAGCCTTACCCATGCAATGAAACAATAAAATAAAGTAGAATGTGAAATGTTGCCAGGTTAAGAATTTCCTGCTATTATTTTCTCTCCTACATTACCAAATGAAATGTTGAATCTAATTGGCAGCCATGCCCAATGCGTGTTACCTCTGCCTGTGAAGTAACAAGTGCATCTGACTAATGGAGGCAGTCGTTTTTTCCCCCCTCTACTAGGTCAGGTATGGATACTTACCTTTCCTGCATGCAGTGTGTTACATTTTTGCCCTTGTGAAGAGCTATGGGTACAACTGGCATTCAACTGTTTCAGCCGTGTCAGATACCTAGTCCCGCTGCTGGGTACTGTGGTTCTGCCTAAGGCTATGTCACTGCAGAAGGAGGAAGCATTGTGGCTGGTGGGATAGAGTTGCATTTCCTATTTAATAGTGCCTTATAAATCTTTTAGCTATAGGAGCCCCTAAACTCCTACACAAATATCCACTTTCTGCAAGTCAGTTTTTACATTGGGCTACATTTATATCAAACTCTCAATATCACACTGTTAAGACCTGGCAGCAGGCAACTCAGACACCAAGCACTGCATTATAGGAGACAAAGTGGAATGCACCGATGGGGACCCTTTCTGGAAATACGGGGTTTCCCACAATCCATCAGTGGCACATTGGGAATGGGATGTAGTGTACATATAGCAGTTAGTTAGAGGTTTACAGAGGGACATTAGCTTACTTGGGTTGTCTGCGGTTTCTGTGGTTAGCAAAGCAACCATGCTGTGGCAGGGACCTCAGTTCTATCATGGAATCTGTATCTTACCCATAGGTTTGTGATTTTTTTTTCACTGAGGGTTCACTGGAGCAAGCACTGATGTAGCTGGCTCTTTGTATGCAGTTCATAATTAAATAAAATTCAATAACCTTTTTCGGAGACCTATTTTTTTGTACTAAAATTATATATATATATCTATATCTATATCTATATATATATC